AGAATAGCACCCTGTGGAGGCCTTCCCTTCCCCTTGTTTGGGAAAGTTCACCATAGCCCGATCCTTCTGTTAGTGGAGAAAAAAGGGCTCCAGCCCCCGGCTTGGGGAAAATTTCCCCCCCTCGGGTTGTTTCAGGAATTTCCCCCCCACCTTCATGCCCGGTTTTTTTTTCTGGAAAAAAAACAAGGAACCAAAGGGGAGGGGGGGGGTTGTTTGTTATTGGGGGGGGGGGGGGGGGGGGGGGGGCAAGTGCGAAACCTCCGCGAGCGTCACGAGGTGGGCGAGCACCTCGCAGCCAGCAGCTTCGGTTCTTGGGATGAGAGGAGGGAACCACGTCACGTTACCCCCCGTGTAGCGGTCAGATTCCGGGAAAACACGCCTTGGGGGGGACGTCGCTTCATCCCGATCGAAAGAACGTGCCATCCAGTCAGACACCACTTTGGGCATGGTATTAATGTGTGCGTTGACGTTTCCACATATATCGCTTCCAACAATCAAACCCCGCATGAGAAAAACAGATGCTTGGGTTTACAATGGAGCCCGCGGTCTTGTGAAGCCAGAATGAAAGTGTTCACATCGAGCACGAGTGCCATGTTCAGAGGGAAAGGGCGCTAAACAAGTTCGATTTAATGACGAGGGGTAAGGTCCGCCTCATCCCATCCGTTGTGACCCTTGCCCCCTGGGCGGAGGCAAGATGCAACTAATTTTGCAGAACATTCAGCAGCAACACATGCACAAAAGGATGGTGCATGTATGTGTGGCGGTGCTTACGTGAGGGAGTGCATGAGGATTGACTTCATCTCGTCCTCGTCGATTTCGCTTTCCTCCCCGCTGCCGCTCTCTTCGTCCTCACTGCTGCTGCTGCTGCTGCTGCTGCTGCTGCTGCTGCTGCTGCTGCTGCTGCTCTCCTCGCTCTCTTCTTCGCTACTGCCGCTCTCTCCTCCCTCCTCTTCCTCCTCCTCCTCCTCCTCCTCCTCATCGCTGGGTTCGTCTTGGGCTGCAGGCTTAGACTTAGACTTAGCCACAGGCGCCGCGCTCTTCTTCCTCGGCCCAGCCTTTGTCGCTCCCTTCTTCCCCCCGCCCTTGGCACCAGCGCCAGCACCACGACCGCCGCCGCTCGGCTTCCTCTTCTTCTTAAGAAGGAGCTTCTTCGCCTTCTCCTTCTCCCGCCGCTCTCTAGCGTCGGCGGCCTTCTTGAGCCGAGCTTCAGCGCGTTTGGCCACCGCCCGCCGCTTCCTCTCGCGTGCCAGCTCTCTCTCCGCGGCCTCTCTCTCCTTCCTGTGCCTGTTTGCCTCGTTGGCGAGCCCCGCTCTCCACTGCTTGGACTGCCGCTTCAGGGCCGGGTGGGCGAGGATGTGCTCGGCTAGCTGCGTGACCCAAGGACGAAACCGACACATGCAAAGTTCCCGGAACATTGTGGTTGGTGGGGGATTCGTGTTGGCGAGGGTACAGTCAGCAGTAGCGGTTCTAAGAGAGATTATCCCAAGAGAAATATTGCTGATTTGAAGAGAATATAAAGCGACATGTGCCGCCCATGAGGATGTCATTCCCTTGATGGCACGCCTTTAAGAGACAACCGGAACTCAGGTGAATGTTCGTGGCCTCTCCTGGCTCTCTCTTAAACCGTACCGTAGAAGACGCTACAGTGCTGCCGTGCAGGACCTTCCGGAAAACGTGTCAGGGGAGAGCGGGACCGACCACTCGAGAGTATCGGAGCACGGGGAATCGCCGTCGCCCCGATAGCTATGGTGGGAATAAAATAAGGGGGCGTCATGAATTTCTAGGTCTAGAGTGCGACAGTCGATGGAGAGTTACGAACTCTCTGTTCTTGCAGTGTGTTACAGATACACAGAAAAGAAGGAGGCGTGTTGGTTCAGTAGACCCCAAGTCCCAAAGTGGGCCGCACAAATACTTCGGATGTATTGCATCTTTGTATACATGCGTTACCAGACCGGGGGAGATAGGGGGGGGGGGGGGGGGGGGGGGAAAAAAAACCCCCCCCCTGGGAAAATTTCAAAAAAAAAAAAAAATTTCCGGGGGCCCCAAAAAGGGGTCCCCCTTCCCACCCAAAAAACCCCCCCGAAGGTTAAAATTCCCCCCAAGGGGGAAAAAAAAAAAAAAAAAAAAGGGAAGGGGGCTTCAAAAAAGGGGGGGGGGGAAAAAAAAAGGGGGGGGGGGTTTTATACCCCCCCTTTCCAATTCAAGCAAAAAAAAAAAACCCCCCCAAAAAAAAACCCTTTTTTTCCCCCCCAAAACTAAGAAAAAAAAAAAAAAAATTTTTCCCCTTTTTTTTTTCCACCCGTTTCCCCCCCCTTTTGGGGGGGAACAAAGTCCCCTAAACTTTTTACCCCCCCCCCAAATCCCCAAAAAACCTTTTCCCTTTATTTTCCTTT